ATATATATATATATATATATATATATATATATATATATATATATATATATATATATATATATATATATATATATATATATATATATATATACATCTTGGTGTTCAAAACCCCAAGAAACTGGCGAGAGAAAACCTGGTTGATGGTTTTGATTATGACAAGTCTAAATATACTGAGTTTATGTGAATCTTGTGTTGATGGGAAGCATCATCGTAGTAAATTCCCTGCAAATGGTGCCTATGGTGGTGAACGTGCCAAAGAGCCACTCCATTTAGTACAGTGATGTCATCACTGTGTAGGGTGATGTATGTGGTAAGATGAATGCAAAAACACTTTGCGGAGTACTTTTTAACATTTACTGATGACCACACTCATTATGTATGGGTCTATGTCTTGAAACACAAAGACGACTAAGTATTTGGAAAATTTTTAGAGTGGAAAGCCTTTGTCGAAACATCCACTGGAAGAAGGCTTAAAGTTTTTCGCACAGATAATGGGGGTGAATATACCTCAACAGAATTTTAAAGTTACCTGAAGAAAGAAGAAATAACAATAAAATGAGAGCCTGCACTGATGGCATACAATTTTGAATATCTGCCCCGAAACGTTCGTTTTTCCAAATATGGAATGTCTATCCTTATATGGTGTTGTTACAACTTTCATGCAAATTAAATTTATTCATATTCAAGCAAAAATTTAAATGTTTTAAATGCTGTTTTCTCAAAACAGAACATTTCGTGCTTTGAGATAAGATGGCCATTACAGTAAGTACCATTTCATTCGACAACAGGTAAAACTATACTGTCTGTGAAACGCGGATACTGTCACATTGATGAAATGATCGCAGATATTTTAAATAAGCCTGGCAAAGTTTACGAAGCTTCGAAAGATGCTTGGATTTAGCTCAAGAGCAGATCAACAATGAACAGTTGACTAAACATGTAATTATATAGCCATATAGGCGTTTTTTTTGCAGTTTACGACAAGTGTTGAAAAAGGCACTCTAAAACTTCATGTTATATTCATATTAGTTTTACACCTCAAGTGACGTGACAGAGATAAAATACAAAAGTACATTGTATGTGCAAAACTATATTCTCAAGTCAACTCAAGATGTTCAGTACTTTATTACCGTTTTTCTATAGTTTTGTCCATTACATTGTTAAATAAAACATTGCAAAAAGAACGTAGGCTACAGCTTGCAAGATCGACCACTTTATTGAAATAAGAAGGAAATATAATAATTTTACTCATACGTTGTTTTTCGTTTGTATCACTGACAATTAAATTATATTACATTTTTTAAGCGAAATAGCAATTGGATTCATATGCAAACGAATTTTTTGTATGAAGCGTTATTTACCATCAAAAAAGTAATGGTCAAGTGCTGAAATTCATTATAACGAATAACGAATTTCAGCACTTGACCTTTTTTGATGGTAAATAACGCTTCATACAAAAAAAATCGTTTGCATATGAATCCAGTGAAGCTCAATGTCTCAATCGGTAACACTAGCTTCTCGCATCCTACATGTCATTGGTTGTTAATACACTTACATTCTTAGATTTTCACGTAACTTCGCCAGAAGATTAGGCTCCCGCGCATGATATAAGCATTTCTCTACTTCATCTTTCATATCACACTGCAAAAAGAGATGAGCAGCTTTCATAAACTCTAATTTCACCTTGCGATGTTCACCCGTCAGTTTAGCAGCCTTGGCAGCTTGTTCATGTGCACGACACTTTTTCATCCACATCTCTTCATCAGCCATGCCAAAACATTGCAAAGCAAGGTCCCACTTTCCTTTTCCGTAAAAGGAGATACCTTGTTTCTTCCATTCTTCTTTACCAGACTTCTGAGCAAACATTGCTTCAACAGAAGCCATTCCATCTTCCACGTGCTTCACGTCAACTACGCCACGTTTCTGAAAATATTCAAACATTGGAGCCCTGGCTTCTTCATTCTCATCAAACAACCAAACATTGACCCGAGCTCTAGTTAGAGCCGTGTATAGATATTTGAATTCTGAAATCAGGATCTGGTGTTGGTCGGGATTGAACTCCAGTGGTCTTGCTTTGCATTCCAAGTTGTCGACCTGGATTTCAGCGATACCAGTTGAACTAACGTTTGTATCTTCATCTTGCTTTTCTTCGTACGTACCCACAACACGCCATTCTTTCAGTGCCTGAAGTAATATAGACATACTTATGGTAAATATAACAGAACTTTTGCCACTTGTGTAGGTATTAATAATTCTGATTTACGTGACACATTCTTGAGAATTTTACAGTTCAACCTCTCTCTCTAAAACAGTGTCTGAAAACTGAAAAAACTGAAAATTTTATTACAAATTGCAAAATTACAATTTATACGCTGTCGTTAGTTACACACTATTGACTAGAAATTAATTAATATAACAAGATAATAATTTATATTTGAGAAATGAATAATGATTATTGTACAACAATGTATAAAGAAAATTTAAAAATAAAATAGGAAGTAATCGCAATATATTAAAAGAAAATAATTATCGGATGTTTCTAAACCGCAGAGTAGTAAAGTTTATTGAATAACTTAAATATAATAATTATAACTTGAAAATTATGAAGCTTTAACAAATTTGTTCAATCTTTCTCTTACAACAAATAAATTTCCGACAAGGTGGAAAATTGCAAAAGTCTTTCCATTACATAAAACAGAGGAAAGGGATAATGCAAATAATAATTATTATAGGCCTATTTCGGTGTTATCTTCAATTGCACGTCTTTTTGAGCGCCTTGTGTATAACCAAATGTATGCTTATTTATCTAAACATATATAGACTAATCAATACCCGTCAATCTGGATTCCGTTCACTTCACTCTACCATGACAGCCTTACTGGATATGACAAATCAATGGTGTTTTAATATTGATAAAGGGATGTTAAATGGTGTGATTTTTCTTGATCTAAAGAAGGCTTTTGACACCATTGATCATGAAATTTTGCAAATGAAACTTGCATGTTATGGTTTGAAAGAGTGTAGTTTGGAATGGGTTGAATCCTACTTGACAAATAGGGTACAAGTTTGTCATGTAAATGGCATATATTCAATGGAATTGCCAGGCTATTTGCTGACGATACAAATATCACTTCCACAGGTTGCAATTTGGAATCGGTCGAAAATAAAATGCAGATTGAGCTTAATAAAATATTCAAGTGGCTTTGTGCAAACAAGTTGACACTGAATATTTTAAAAACCGATTTCATGGTTATTGCTTCTCGACAAAAGCTAGCGGCCTTGGGAGACTCAATAACATTGTCAGTAAACGGTGTTTCATTAAGCCAAGTTCGTTCGGTGAAATCCTTAGGAGTAAACATAGACGAAAACTTAACTTGGGAAAACCATGTGGAGAGTATTCGCTTAAAAGTATCCGGTAATATTGCTACTTTGAGGCGATTAAAGCCCGTTTTACCACAAAAAAACCTAGTATCACTCTATCGGGCGATAATTGAACCATATTTCATTTATTGCTCCATAGTTTGGGACAGCCTTGGTCAAACATTAGACAGGTCTCTACAAATTTTACAAAATAGGGCTGCCCGTGTGATAACTGGGGCACATTTCTCAACATCATCCTCAAAAGTCTTAAAAGAACTTGGCTGGATGAATATTCAGGAAATGAGGTATAAACAAAAGGCTATGATGATGTATAGAATAGTAAACGGTAATGCACCATATTATTTAATAGACATTTTTCAACATTGTCGTGCTTTGGATATATATAATCTCAGAAGGTCTAAAATAACCTTCGAACTTCCAAAAAATCGAACACTGTATTACAATTCAAGTTTTGCCTTCACTGGTGCTAAATTATGGAATTCTCTTCCGGATGAGATAAAAGACGCACCATCAACTTAAAATATTTGTAAAAATGTTAGACTCGACTATATTCTGTGCCAACTAGAATATGTTTTCTGTATATAGTTTTATATTGAAATATTAAGATAAACGACTTTTAGGAAGAACAAATGTAAATATGTCATATCTACAATTGATAAAACCACCGTGGTTAAATAAAAATTTCAATCAATCAATCAATCGATCGATCGATCTATCTATCTATCTATCTATCTATCTATCTATCTATCTATCTATCTATCGGGGAAAAGGAAGATCCATTGTTTCATTCGGAACAGAGAGGTAGGCTCCTACACGGAATTAAGCACTGCTTCATACCTCTTCCCCTCCATCTACTTCCTCCCATTCCCCATACTCACGCTTCCTCTACTCAAAATTCCCCCCACTTATTCCCCACACTCAAACTCCCCATACTCAAATTCCGATATTTCAAATGTTTCAAATAATCCCAAATCTTAATAACATTGTATGACACACAATATAAACACGCCTAGGATGTCAATGGTGAAAGGCGAGGACAAAATCTTTAACAGCGTTAAGGTCCTTATACAATTGCGGAACAGCTGTAATTGCAAATTGTCATACACAGACCCCCTTATCGCTCCCACTCATAATCTCCGATCTGTTGGAAAACTCCGTCGATAACCGATCCCCAACCTCTTTTCTGCGCGCACAAAACATTGCTGGGTCTCTTGAGTAGACAGAACTACGAAATATGCCAGAACCAAACAGATGGGACTGATGCGCCACAACCGGTCCCAAGGAGGGTTTTCCCTGCAACTTGTCGCTGCGTGAACCTTTCTATAGCCGCAATCGGTTCAAAACCAAGTGTTATCTCCCATGTAGCCACCATACAATTTTCTGTACGCCGCTTGTATATGGCGGCTGAGTAAGAAGGACCTAACAATCAATCACCCACGAGAACCCCCCCCCCCCCCCCCCC